CGTATTTTACTCATCTGCTTCCAGCGGAGTTCGAACTCAGGTCTGCATTTCTGCAGTTCAGTTGAGGGGTGTTTGTACCAACTGTGAGCTAGGCCAGTTGGTAGAAAATGGGACAGCTCTTAGCTGAAGCCAGTGGATTGAATTTCACGGGCTGACTGAACGATGAGCTTTCGGCGAGCCTTACGCGCTTTTATTACGTAGTTATCAAATATTTATTAATTTAATTTAATCACTATTTTGAATTTTCCCTAAAGGGCAACAACGCGCATTAAATTCAGAGTTACTGGTCATTTCAACTTATTTGAACTTATTTCACTCATCTGCATCCGTCCAGGTTCGAACTCAGGTCTGTATTTCAACAGTCCATGGGGGGTGTACCAACTGAGCCAGGCCAGTTGATGGGAAAATTGGTGGATATGGCCCTCGGGGAAAAACGTTTTGGTTTTCCTCGCCCAAACTTTTCCCGTTTGGCAAGCAGGGCCCACCACGGGCAATACCAGACATCGGACGTAAAAATCTGGTGGGCCGAGATGGGGTCCCGGGGCTAGGTCCCACTTACACGAATCAAGCGATATTGACCGTAGATAGCAAAGATCAACGGCCAGAATCTCTTAATCCGTGCAAGTGGGACCTTGCCCCAGTTTGGCCTCTTCTTACCGGATTATGAACCTAGCGCTGTCTTTGCCAAACGTGCAAGTGGGACCTTGCCCCAGTTTGGCCTCTTCTTATCCACCAATTGTCCGCTAGTTGCTCCAGTGGGGAGATTTTTTTTTTTTTTTTTTTTTTTGAGACTTTGAAAGATAATATTTTATTCCGACTTGCCGGTGGAATAGGAACCGGACTGATGCTCCCCCGAATGGAAATGGAGCCAGGACCATAAGGACCTGTTTTTTTTTTTGTTTTTTTTTTTTTGTTCAAATGTCCACCTTTGCTCTTCCAATCTTTTTCTCCACCCAAACGATTGACCTTCGGCCCTTTGGGCACAAAAACTGCTATATAACTGCGAAGACTCAGCCCCACTGTTCTTCTGAATATTCGTTGGGGCTGATGATCAGATCTGATCATCGGATGATGATCTGAATGCAGTGAATGGTCACAGATCAGATCATGGTGTTCAGAAAGATGACAAGAGCCATCTGATCTGAATGTCAGATCTGATCATCAGAACTGACATTCGCCGTCAGATCTGCATGTCAGATCTGATCATCAGAACTGACATTCACTATCAGATCTGATCATTAGAACTGACATTCGGCGTCAGATCTGAATGTCAGAACTGACGTTCAGAAGCGATCATCAGACCATCATCCAGTGGTAAGATTTGATCATTAGATCTGAACATCATCATCTGATGGGCAGATCTGGTCATCAGATCTGAACATCACATCCGATGATCGCATGGATCATTAGATCAACTCAGCAGATCTGATGCGATGTGCCGATCTGATCACCCAATCTTCTCATTTTCTCTGATGGCCGGATGCGAACGTTATAGATCATCTGATGTTCCGATATGACCATTGGACCATCATCACATGGACAGATTTGATCATCAAATCAAACAAGCAGATTTGGCGATGTGATCTTCAGATCTTATGATCAGGTCTGAATACTACCGTCTTACACCAAACCCAATCATGTACCTTGATCATGACTGTCTCAGACGGGCAGGACATCTTGTATACATTCATGATGAGGGTACAACGTATTTGGGTGAGGTTGGTAAATCTCATGATGAATCTGGTCATCATCTGATCTGATTATCAGATCTGACCGATCGTCAGATGTGCTCATTTGATGTGGTGATGATGAGCATGGTAGATTTAATTAGATTAGAGACGTTGTACCAGCGCTTTGTTGCTTGCCTCTCTACTCTACTTGTGAAACAGCCTGCTACCTCTTACGGGTGAACGGAGTGTGCGTGTGTTGCTGAGTCCGCAATGCGTGTGTTGCTGAGTCCGCAAGGACACTACAGCCCTGGGGGTGGGCTGGATATCACTACCGGTATGGATCAAGTTTCATAACACCTCCAAGGGTTGTAGTGGTTACGAGACTTCGTTCCTGTGGCAGAGGGTGCCGGTTCAAGACCTGATGCCCGTAAAATTCCAATGGAATCCAACTCTTACGGGCCCATCAACAAAACGAGAACATACAATACGAAATGAAAAACGAATGGTTATTTTAGTCTTTCATATTGCTTATATGGATGCTGCAGAGCCTTGGCAATACGGATTTCAAGATGCATCCACTCCTATGATGCAAGGAATTATCGAGTGCACCCTGGTCGCAGATCTCGATCACATTACTAGGTAGTTGGTTAGGTGAAGGCCGGCCAAGCCGATGATGCTTAGCTGGTCTTTTCGGATGATCAGCCCTATGAAACCACGCGCTGATTGAGCGCGTGGTCGGAACCGAAGTTTTTGAGAGCCGCTCAATTCCGCACTCAAAGCGCCTTGAGCGGGGTTGGAGCGGGCACGAGAATATTTTTTTCATGGGTAAAAAAATACGCAAAAAAAGAAAAAGAAAAAAAAAAGGTTGTAGATCTTTTTTAGATCTACAACCCAATGTTTTTTATATTATTTTTTGAAGTTTCGATATATTTGAAAAAAAATCAAAAGGGCCGGCACGGAATTCCTGAACGCCGAGCTCGGAAATTCCTCAGCCGAGTGACCACGCGCTAAGGAATTCCGCGGCTTCACCATGACAAGAGGACGCGCTCCAGAGACTCAAACTCGTCATGGGGAGGACGCGCTCCAGAGACTCAAACTCGTCATGGGGAGGACGCGCTCCAGAGACTCAAACTCGTCATGGGATCCGGAGTACTTCACCCCTTGGATAGAAGAGTGCCTCCGACGGAGGTTCCCTTGTTTAACCGAGAATCGACTGTGTCCGAGGGAGTTCCATTGTGCCACAACTAGCGATCCACGGTGCCCTGATTTCCCCACTTCAGACCACACGCACTATTTTACTTCCCCCGGTTTCGTCGTTATCTCCACTAACTTCCCTCCCTTCCGTCTTCTTCTCCCGTATCATCAACTCACTGTCGTCCCGTGGAACGCCATAGCACCATACTGGTCCCGCACCCCTTGCAGAAATTGTCGGCGTCGCGGCAATCGACGAGCCCCGGAAACCCGAGGGCCTAACCCGAATACGCGACGACAGCCGCCACGTGGCTGCCCCCAAAGGCCCGACTCATCGGAATCACAGCCCTTCCGGGCAGACCTAGCCCTGAACTGCCGCCCCCAAAATAGACGAAGCGGACGACCTTGAATAACCCGCGCATGCCATCTGCTTTTTGACCGGAAGCAGTCCGTCCTCTCAAACCAAATTGCACCTGTGGCCCCGAAAAACTCTGCCACAGGAGATCCCAGTTCTGACCTGGGACTCCACCCCCACTTTCCCAAAAATCCTTGGCACACCCCTTTTCGCACTTCCAGGCCCACATCCTACTCCGATCAGGAAGTCACGCTGGGCGTGAGGTTGGTATCGGAGTCCGACACGTGGCCGGGTTATAGGGCTAACAGCAAGGTAATTAAGTGATCTGGCTAACCGAGGGCGACCTCGACCCCGGAACACGCCCAGACTCGACCCCGTCGTCACTAGAAGCAGATCGACTAATCGACGGGTAGCCAACATGAATGCTAATCCACAGAATCCGAATCCGCAGCCGAATGCCAATCAACAACAAAATCCTAATCAACCCGCCCCACGAGCACGAGCTCCCATGACGCCACCGGATCTCTATCTGTTTGACCCTGCACATCATCTTGCCAACCACGCTCCGGGCGCAGCAGTATGACGATAACGAAGCTCAGGTGAATATTCCCGCCCGACTAGGAAGGGACGCTCATCATTGGTTTAGTACCTATGTATGGGTGGACCTTCCGACTTTCGAGCGAGATTTTTTGAATCGATTTGATTATGTCAATCCAGAGCAAGCGCTCTTCATGATCAACCACCGAGTTCAAAAACCTCTCGAGTCCATTGCAGAATATCGAAACCGGTTCTACCGAATGTTTGTGAAAACTGAGAGGGGCGAGCAAGTAGGGAGAGATCTGTTTATCGATGGACTTTGCAGCCGAACGATAAGGGCGAAACTGCGAAAACAGTTGAGAATCTCCCCCATCAATTACACGCTCCAACAGATTATGGCGGCCGCCGCGGAAATGGAACGGAAGTTCGCGGCGAGTTTCCTAGAAGAAAAGGACTATCCTAAAGAAGGAGACTCGTCCGAACTTGCAAGGGCAAAAGCTGAGCTGGCAGCATTGCAAAATAAGTTCGAAAACATGGGGTCTGTGTCAGGTCCCGTTACCTATCTGGAGCAGATAGCCCCTAAACGACCGACCCCGAGTGTGGTCACGAGCGCCCCCGTCCCTGTGATGCCAGCACCTGTAATGACGGCACCCCCGCCACGAATCGAAAATCCCGTTCGATCAAACGAATCAACCACCATTTTGGAGCTGACCAAAACACTAATTAGCCTAATCCAAGAAAGCAAAAAGGAACAGCGAGAGCATAATGCTCGGCTGGAAGCTATGATGAGGAATATGCGGCCCATCGCAGTACGAGCCGCCCCGATCCAACAAGGATTGGTCCCGACGCCTGTTCTCGGAGGGGCCGCAGGCAATCTGAACGTCTGTTATGCATGCCATCAACCAGGGCATCTAGCCCGAGATTGCCCGCACCGGCCCCCGCAACAACGAGTCGGAGCCGCCCCAGTAGCTGCAACCCCCATCGCTAACGGATCGGGACGGGTAGGAGCCCTGATGGAAGAAATGGAAGGCAGAGGAAGTACGCTAGCTACCACAGAGGAGGCTGTTGAGCTCATTCCGTTAGATCAATATGTATCACTTAGGTATCCGGGGCTTGGAATGATTGGAACCATCAGACCAGCGCCAGAACAGAAAGAAGTGGCGGAATGGCGACCTTCTCCCGGAGAGATGGAGTTGGGAGGACCCACTTTCGTCACTGGCGAAATTGATATTCTGAACATCGTTCGAGCACTGGATCATCGGATTCCTCTTCCGATTGACCATCTGCTTTCAATATCAGAACAGGCTAATGAGCGTAAGTTGCAACACTGCAAAGCGAATTGGAAGCGATTTGCTCTCGCCCGAACAACAAACACGAAAACGAAATGACCGATACCAGACGAAAATGCCGCAGGCACCTCCGATCCCATACGCAAATGGGCTTATACAGAAAGATGATCACTTCCTGCGAATCAAACCTATCCCATGGAAATCCGCAGAATGCGATATCGAAGTATGGGGAGTCGCGTATAATGCAATTATCGATTCAGGAGCCGCTGTTTTGGCTATTTTGCTACGAGTAGTTGAAAGAGCAGGAAGAAAGAACGACTTAATCATGCTAACCGAAAGAGATCAGCTTGTTTCTGCAGACGAAGAAAAGATTAAAACGGTGGGACAAATGACCAATGTTGCATTTCAATTAGGGAAGGTACATGCTTTGGGAGACGTCGTGGTATTAGATGTCAATACTTACGATGTTCTTTTCGGCCTTCCTGCCCTGGTAGCGCTGCGAGCCAATCTGGACTTCGAACGACGGTCGATTATCCTCCGAAATACGGGAGGGAAGCCCTACGTTGTGCCAATGAGACTGACTCTGCGCACTACCGCTAACATAACCCCGCGAGTTTCTCCCGCAATGACTGGGACCCTCCGCGTGATTACCTGGGACAACGGGCAGACATCCAAGAACGCGGACAGCAGCGATGATGATGATGATCCCGTAATTATTCTGGAAATGGCACAAGAACGTATTCATTACCCTGTGCAGCGGACCAACGCTAGAGCTTTAAACAGAACTAACCAAGATTTGCAAAGAACACAGACAATGATTATGGGAGGACCTCTCGTACAAATTTCAAGGATTGTCAATTCTTTGGAACCCCCTCGAACCCTGTACGAAGGAATCTCCCCTCTTCTCGCCCGATACAACAACAAAAGGTACTACTGCGATATCACGGATCTTCCGAAATCCCTGCTGACACCTGCAAAGGAAATTCGATTGCTACGCTTAAGGGCAAAGATTAATTCCTTGGAACCCCCTGAGCGCCTCGAGAATGGACTCGGAATCAAGATCGGCACGAAACCCGTGCCGTGGGAGGACATTCGGGACGGAGTGACACCTGAGGAACACGTGGTCATCCGAGAAGAGGATGCACAAATGATGGCCACGGTGTTCTGTTGGCGATCCGATAACTCGTTCATCTCTGCGCCCCCACCGGAAAATACTAAACGAATGAATACGAAACACATCGATGTGCGGATATGGGACGAATCATACGAGTTGCACGTACCTCGATACGTGCCTGACGAAATCCACCACCTAATCGCAGACATCCTAAAAGAATACAAAGGAGCAATTAGTGTGACAGACACAGACATTGGGCTATCGTTAGTCATACAACATGAAATCCAGACGGGAAACCATTCCCCAATTCATTGCAAACCTTACAGGTATTTCCTGGTAGAGTGGAAAAAGGCCCTCGAACGGATTCGAGAATTCGAAGCAAGCGGTTGGATTGAACCCGCCACCGAACCATGGTTTTTCCTGGTAGTATTAGTGCCGAAAAAGAACGGATCGATCCGCATATGCATTGATTATCGTAAGCTGAATGATATCACGATCAAAGATGTGTACCCCCTCCCCCGGATTGATCATTTGCTGGATGCGATTGGGTGTACCAACTATTTCAGTAAGTTTGATATCCGACATGGCTTCCATCACATTCTGGTTAAGGAGGAAGATAGGCCAAAGACAGCGTTCGTTCTGTTTGAAGGCACGTGGCAGTGGATTCGGTGTCCGATGGGGATCTACAATGCGCCGGCCACGTTTCAGCGGGCCATGAACGTCACGTTTCAGAACTTCGTCAACAAGACACAATTAACTCAGGGGATGATCAACTTCTGCGTCATCGTGTACATGGATGACATCCTGGTTTATTCGGAGACCTATCACGACCATGCGCAACATATCGAGTGGACATTATGCGCTCTGAGAGACGCTGGATTCAAGATCGCGCTTGAGAAGAGCGAATTCTTCCTCTCGGAAATTTCGTTCTTGGGCTACGTTGTGACACGTGGAGGATTGCGGCCTGACTCGAGAAAGGTCGCGGCGGTGAAAGAAGCCCCTGTTCCCACATCGCTAACGCAGGTTCGAGCCTTCTTGGGGTTGGCATCGTACTATCGCCGTTTCATCAAGGGCTTCGCCGCGATTGCACGACCCTTGACGAACCTACTACGGAAGGACCAACCCCTCAGTTGGGACGCGGAGTGCGAGCAGGCCTTAGCGACCCTCAAGGAAGCTTTAGCAACGACACCTATTTTGATCCGACAGGACCCCTCGAAGCAGTCCATTCTCATCACGGATTGGCAGCCGGAGGCTATTTCCGCTATTTTAGCGCAAAATGGGAACGATGGCCGTGAACATGTCATCGAGTATGGGTCGCGAACTGTAGCAGACGAACGAAAGAACGACTCTGCTGCACAAGGCGAATGCTACGTGGTAGTGTGGGGAATCTAGCACTTCCATCTGTATCTGTACGGACAGAAGTTCCTCCTTGTCACCGATCATGAACCCCTGTTAGCGCCGAAGAGACTCTCTAATTACACGGGCATGATTGGCCGATGGGCGGTGCGCCTACAGGAGTACGACTTCGACATCATCCACCGAAAGACGGAGAGACACGGCAAAGCGGACGGGCTGACACGTCTGCATCGACCAGCTAAAGTGCCTAAGGCAGAGGAGATCGTCCAGTGGAAGGAACCGGAGCCGGTGAACGGGCCCAAGTACGGACAAGTTCTCCCACGTGGCAAGAGGCAGGCGGGTGGCAATGGGTGGCGGAGGCCATCCTACAACCCCTCTCTCTCCCCTCTCCTCCTCATCTCTTCTCTCCCTGCCTGATAAATTTTGTTATTTTTGTGAAGCAATTTCTCGAGTATACTCGGTCTCTATGCGCCCTAACGGGGAAGGGTATGCAGAATGGGTGGATTGTCGACAATGCGTCGCACGAGCCCATGGCTCGTGCATCCAATACCGAAACGACAGCAAGCCTTGGCTGTGCCCCTTGTGTCGGGTTAATAAGATCCCGACCGAGGCTCGCTTTTTAGACGCCACGTCAGAAGGGTTAGAAAATACCCGGAAGTTTAGAAGAGCCGAAGTATGGACGGATATCGCTTTGATAGCCACCCTAGTGGGTAACCCTCTCCAGGACTTCACCAAGGAAGATGGGAGGAGGGCCAATGAAAGGGCGCGAGACTACCGCTGGAACGAGGGACGATTGGAAAAACGAAAAAGGGATGGTAGTGGGATATGGATGGTAGTGCCGCACCCGTTCATAAGGTATGACTGGGTGAAGACAGCGCACGAGGAAACGACTGCCCATTTTGCCATACGGATCACGGAGGCGGCAATCGACAAAAAACAAATAGTATTGGTCCAATATTCGTAACGATGTGAAATTCATCGTCGCGAACTGTCAAGTCTGCGCTGCTGACAAGGCGCCGATTCAACCGCCAAGATTGATAGTGCCAACGGTAGTTGAACGGCCTTTCCAAAGGGTTAGCATGGATACTACCGATATTGTGGTACCCCCTGAACCCAATAGCTGTGAATATTCAGTCCTACTTGTGTTCGTGGACCATTTTTCGAAATGGATCGAGGCATATCCCTGTCGTACGCGACAAACGGCCGAAATTGCGCGATACGTCAATCGGTTTTTAGGGATGCACCAGGACACAGAGGAAATTTTGACCGATAATGGGGTAGAATTCAGGGGGGAAGCCTTGAGGAATCTGGTCGTACACGGCGTCGCTATTCGGAACACCGCACCCCACATGTCGCAATCCAACGGGCTGGTAGAAAATGCCAATAGGGTGATAAAGACTGCGCTACGACGCAATATCGCGGCACGGGACCCCAGGCCCTGACCCGATATCGTAGATCACATCTTGGCGGTCCATCGAGGAACGCCCCACGAATCAACGAGCCAGAGCCCGTTTCAGTTAAGGACCAATAACGTGGCTTGTGTTTCAATATCGAGCCTCCCGGACGAATCTTCGTTGAACCGACGGCCCACAAGGGCCACGGTTCGAGACAAGGCCAAGCGACACCTGAAACTGATGGAGAGGTCCCTGCCCCGGTTAGCCCGCAAGCGCCAGAAAATGACCGAGTTGGCCCATGGTTGGCAGGTCCGTAGTTACGAGGCCTGGAACGGGAACGCGGGTCCTCGGCCCCAGTACAAAATAAGGGACCTGGTGCAGGTAAGGAAATGTGCTCGCCAAGGTAAGATAGTGCCACGATTCTTCGGGCGATTCCGAGTGATCGAGCTTGGACCGAACGGAGTGAACACCATGCGCCTCGTGCCAGAGGTCTCAGGAAGCCCATCGACGCGCCCGATCGTTCGTCACGTGTCTTACCTGTGTCCCCTCCCTTCCTCCCCATCTCCTGCGCCATCTTTTTCTTCGGAAGAAGACGACGACCCTCCATCGCCATCTTCTTCCCCTGCATCTCTTGCCTTGTCCCCTAATCCGTCCCCACCACCATCGCCATGAGCTTTCTCACGGAGCAAGCCCTCGGCGACCATCTCTTAACGCCACGGGGTTACATCTCCGCGATTCGGCAGGTTCGTCATCCATGGTTCAATCTGGATCTTCTACGACTGGCGCAGTTCTTCTGCACTTCGGGAGTGTACGCAGCGGCCGAGTTCCGACTCGCGGGCAGTTCTCAGGTGGTCGTGCTAGCACAAGCGGTGACCGTTCATCGACGGTCAGCCCCGGGGATTAGCCACGTGTCCACGGTCGTCGGCTTCAACGGCGATATCAGTACGGTCAGTGCGCTCAGGCATACAACCATTTGGACGTCATTGAGGGAGTGGGCGCAACAACAATCGACGGAGTGGAACCACTGGCTTACGCGCCACGAAGATAATCTTTTCCCCACGGACGACATCGAGCTCGGTGGCATTTGAGCATTCCAGCACGAGCCAGCGGTGGTGCTGTTGGAACTCATCCCCTTCCTGCGTCCCCGATGAACCGCTCCCAACTCTCCACCTTCTCTCTCCCCTCTCTCTTTCTCACCTTTTGGCAGTCTGGAGTCCATCCTCGCTTCTCCTTCTGTATAGAACCACTCGCTGTCCCCCTTCTGTATTCAAGGCAGTGGCGGCTGTGGTGCGAGCATTTCGTCGATCTTTCCGTGTGCCTGGTCGGAGTGAGGCTTACGTGGACAAGGGACGAGGAACATCGCGACTGGGCCGAGTACCTGAAGTTACTGATTATCCCAGCCTGGCGGACGGACGTAGAAGGCGATCTTCTCGGTTTTCTCTTTGGATCGGTACGGCCCGACCATTGTCACCTGATCGCACAGGAGCTCACGGTCCCCCTTGCGCAGTTGGCTGACGATCTCCCCCTTGAGATCGTATCGCAGAGTGACGAGGGCCCGGTCCCACACGTCCTTATACGGACCTTGACGCCGTATCTTCAGTGGTCAGCCTGCCTAGAGGAGCCGGGAAGCGGACGCAACCCGCCATCGCAGCGGGATTATCTGGACCCACGGGAGATCCTCGATCTCGCCTTTTCCCAAGAAAGGGCGGCCTCTGAGGACGAAGAAATAGAGATCGACGAAGAGAGCGTCGAAGAAGAAGAAGAAACCGTCGAAGAGGACGAGGAGGAGGCAACCCCGGAGGAAGGCAGTTATAGCTGTCTCTTATACACATCTAGATGTGTATAAGAGACAGTCCTCGATCTCGCCTTTTCCCAAGAAAGGGCGGCCTCTGAGGACGAAGAAATAGAGATCGACGAAGAGAGCGTCGAAGAAGAAGAAGAAACCGTCGAAGAGGACGAGGAGGAGGCAACCCCGGAGGAAGGCAGTTATAGTGAGCACATCGAGGGAGAGCAGAGTGAAGAAGAGGAAGAGGACGAGGAAGAGGACGAGGAGCTGGAGCTGGAGGAGTCTGAGTGGGAGATCCCGACGGAGGAAGCGGAGCAGGCAGACACCCAGGCGGAAGACCCTGAGGAGGCACGCAAGAGAGAGGAGATCGCAGCTGGAAAACGACAGCTGGAGTTCGCCAGCGGGGCCAATCCACAGATCACTGACGATCTGGCCCGCGATCCCGAGCCGCCCAAGCCCGAAGATGGGGAGCCAGCTGCCGAGACTTCGAGCGCAATGGCTAGGCGGTGGCGAAGCCGATCCCCCTCCCCCTCCGCCTCCGACCGTCCATCAGTCCGAGCCCGTACTGATATGGGGCATCGGGCTTCGTCCCCGGTCGTTATCCCGCCGTCCCCTTGACTACCTTACCCTCCGTCAAATCACCACCCGTGTCACCTTCCCCCGTAACCCCTTCCCCATCGACACCTTCCGATTCTTCTACGCCACTCGCCTCGTTGTTACCATTCACCCTCATCCCTCGACCCGATGCGCCCTCCCCGATTTCTACCTCCATACCCTTCTCCTTAGTGCCGCGTGGTGAGGCCACAATATGATCGAGGTTTATTGCATGATTACGCCCTGCATGCGAAAACCAGGATCATTTCCGCGCGGCGCTCTTCCGCACTTTTACCACTCTGTATCCCAACTATCTCGCCTCCCTCCCGCACAGTGGTAATCCTTTTTCCCATTTCCACCGGATTGTTCGTTACCAGGAGCTCCCGGAATTAGTAGCCCAGGTGGAACGATTCTTACCCCCGCTTCCGATTAACCCTCCCCCTCGCCATGCCCCCATGTACCGTCTCCCCTTCCCCCTTCCTGGTGGACACTGATGATCGGTGATCGGTGGATTGATGTGCGTGCCACGACGATGACACGAATAATCCCCTCCTTGGTGAGAACCCTCCTGAGGAATTTGTAGGACAAAGCTTACACGCCACGATTGGATGACGTCCACACTCTTTCACACGGTAAGTGGCCATGCAGAAAGCTCCGCGCGTCGGTCGATTAGAGAGATCGACACGTGTCAAGTTCAAGCAAGCAGGAGCTTGCTTAAGATTGGAACCCCCTGGGCGTCACATATGTGACGAACCGATTTCTACACCACGCGATTTTCTGCACGGTAGCGACGAGGGGTCCTAAGCTGGGAAGGATGGACCAATTACGGGAGATTGGGATGGTTAGGAAATTGCATCGGTGTCCTCGCTTCTTCGTCCTTTTTCGTCGTCTTTCGGATGGATGGGTTCGGGGCCGGGTGAGTCCCGGGACGTTCGATTGGTTGATTGGCTGTGTGAGTGGCGCGTCGTCGTGCATGCGAACAATAAATGTTAACGTCGCTTCTTTTGTTTCGGTTTTGGACTTTTGGGCGCGGACATCACGCGGAAATCTTGCTTCGTTCTTTTTAAATTTTCCTTTTTGAATTCTTTTTCAGATCTTGCCGAGCCCTGATGGCTCTTGGAATTTCGGACTTCCTTTTCGGAGTTTATGCTTTTTGCTTTTCCGCATTAGATAGGAATTTAGGAATTTTGCAATTAGGACTTTCTTTTGCCGCGCGACGCTTTTTGTTTACGCGCTTCTTTTTGTGACTGCAACGGAACTCTGACTAGTCGGCGCCTTTAATCGGGTGTGTAACTATAATATTGGGCGGGCGCCATTATAACTGTATCCTTTCTTCTTGTGTTTTGTCTTTCTTGCTCTCGCTTTTTCTTACTATGTCTAGCCCGCCCACGGACTGCATGCTCGGATCGATGCGCGGAGAGAGGCTACGTCCCCCACGCCGCGGTCTGACCATGCAGAACGCAGACGCTCCCTCTCTAATCTTCTTTCTAAGTCCTTGTAATTCCGTGTTCTTCGCGCAAGCATGCACGATATAAATTCCGGCTGCGCGATTAGATGTTTCTCTTAACGAGCTAGTGGAAGCTCGGGGTAGCGCGATCGGTGAGGGTCGGCTCACGAGCGAAGTAAGAGGTGAGTTGAAGTGGGAGTCGGGCGACCCGACGAGCTGGTGCCAAACGCGAGGGGTTGACGCGGGCCACGACGGACTGTGGGCGCGGGCGAACCTAACGGGTGCGGGAGGACTAAGCGGGGTGACAATTTCGTGGGTTGGTGCGCGACGACGGACTGTCCGCATCAGAGAGAGAGAGAGAGGAAGAGGGAGCTGAGGTTGATGGACGTGGATTTGCTGTTTCTTTTGTTTTTTCTCCCTCTTTGCGTTTGTATATAAATTTTGATCTCGGCTCGGGGCAATTCGCCCGTTCTCTTTTGTTTTTCGGAATCTTGACTTGATTTCGGCCCACACTCGTTTTTGTGATTTCAATCTCGGATATTGTGTGTTATGCCGAATGAATGGATGTATGGATGTTATGTCTGTTTGTTTTTCCTTATGCCTGATCCTTGCCTTTGCTTGTTGGTAAATTTGCGAAAGCCTCACTATTGCTGTGACTGTCTGCCCTTTTTGATCTACTGCTGTACTGCGAATGCGTAGTAGTACCTTGTATATTCAGGCATGATTGCGCGCGAGTCATGGGATGATTAGATGATCGGGTAGTTGTTTGCCTAGAAACCAGCAAACATCTCGTGGGGATGCGTGTAAGCGCGATATGATCTGCGCACTTACACGTGTCCACGCGCGTCGATTTGTAACCACCCACACATGAAAAGGGCTAGCGATTGCGGGGATATTGATTGATTGGATGTGTTTAGTGACCATTCTGCGGCCACAACGAAGCGAGCGTCCCGTGTGAACACGTGTAACTGCGATCCAATTCGCGCAGTTTACACGTACTCGCACGCGGTGATCGCAATCGTCGAATATCGGGGCCGACACGGAATTCCTGAACGCTGAGCTCGGAATTTCCTCGGCCGAGCGACCACGCGCTAAGGAATTCCGCGGCTTCACCATGACAAGATGACGTGATCCAGAGACTCAAACTCGTCATGGGATCCGGAGTACTTCACCCCTTGGATAGAAGAGTGTCTCCGACAGAGGTTCCTCTGTTTAACCGAGAATCGACTGTGTCCTAGGGAGTTCCATTGTGCCACAACTAGTGGTCAGCGGTGCCCTGATTTCCCCACTTCAGACCACACACACTATTTTATTTCCCCCGGTTTCGTTGTTATCTCCACTAACTTTCCTCCCTTCCGTCTTCTTCTCCCGTATCATCAACTCACGGTCGTCCCGTGGAACGCCATAGCCCCATACTGGCCCCGCACACCTTGTGGAAATTGCCGGTGTCGCGGCAATCGACGAGCCCTGGAAACCTGAGGGCCTAACCCGAATATGCGACGACAACCGCCACGTGGCTGCCCCCAAAGGCCCGACTCATCGGAATCACAGCCCATCCGGGCAGACCTAGCCCTGAACCGCCGCCCCCAAAATAGATGAAGCGGACGACCTTGAATAACCCGCACATGCCATCTGCTTTATGACCGGAAGCGGTCCGTCCTCTCAAACCAAATTGCACCCGTGCCCCCGAAAAACTCTGCCACAGGAGATCCCAGTTCTGACCAGGGACTCCACCCCCACTTTCCCAAAAATCCTTGGCACACCCCTTTACGCACTTCCAGGCCCACATCCTACTCCGATCAGGAAGTCGCGCTGGGCGTGAGGTTGGGCGTCACACGCCTTGGTCATGGAAAAAGTACGGGTGGAGGGCGCAAAGATTATGGAACAGATTCAGCAGCAGGTACACCTTGAACTCACACGTAGATGGCCGGACACAAAAACACAATTGGATCTTTTCAGACCGATCGGAGATGTCAGAGACAGATCACGGCCTTTTGCAGGGACTGGTAGGGGGGTGAAGGGAAGGACGGATTGCAAAAGTGGAATGGAGTGGGGACCGAGGAGAAGGGATGCGAGGAGAAGGGAGGCAGGATTTAGAAAGAATGAGAGACTATCGCTTAGTGTTTAAGGACTGGACTAACATAGAACCTCCATTCCCATTAGGCCATCCCTCGGACTTCCCTGATCCCTTCCCACCCCACGCCCTGTCACTGGCAGAGATCCTGGCCTAAATGCGCTACTGATGTCCTGTCTCTCCTCGATACCCCTTACAATCCTCCCCGGAGCCCCCTGGGGAGGATCCCACTCACTTATATTCTTTCTTGGGAAGTCAATGCTGGCAGGAGGGATTGCCTGAGCAAACTGTGACACCAGCCAGGGTTTGGAGTGAGCAGCAGTCCGGGGGACAGTATCAGTTTTCATCGGCTTATCTGGCGCCCCTCATCCGTGGGGGAAGAGATACGGAGGCAAGCTCACAATTGGACTACACTACTGGAAGTGGCCCCCCCGGATTCAGAAGCAATTGCACAGGCAGCATGATTCTCCAAGTTCATAACAGCCATGGGCTTGCCCACAGCCACCAACTCATTTTCTCTCAGAGCATTTGCAGATAATTTTTGACCCCGGCCTGCTCAGTCAATCCCTGGGGTTGAAGGGCAATCAATGCTGGCAGGCCCACAGCCACAAGTTCTCATCTTCTTCAGACATGTGCAGATTCCTTTGATATTCCTTTGTAAAATGAGACACTGGACCCGATTTCCAGCAGGTGATGCTCCCCACCAATAGATGGACCCTCCCCCAAGTGTTAGTGGTGTCTGCTCTTATCAGCAGCACTAACACCGGCAGCTAAGCAAAATTGCAAAATCTGCAATCTTTTTTTTT